TTTTTAAACAGCAGTACTGGGGTAACAGTTGTTATCCCAACTGTTCCACTTCTGATCCAAGGAAAGGAGTGGAGGAGGGCCGAAGTGTTTGAGCCCTTGAAATCTACGTGGGAGGGATGGACAAAGCTCCTTGCTCCTGGGTTTGCCTTTGTAGTCATTTGGAGTGAACCAACAGATGGAAACTTTTTTATTCTGTCTCTCTCCCTCTCTCTCTGTAACTCTGACTCTTACCTAAAATAATAAATCTTAAAAAGACAAAACACTGGAAAGTAGAAACATTTTGCATAACCACATAGCCCAGCCTTATAAGCAGGCTCTTCCAAGGGTGAAGACCAGTGTATGCCCATTTACTAGCAGAGAACACCTTCGATTGGGATTAATAATATCTGTATTTAATTTGAACAACTGAAATTTACAATGGTAACTTAATCTTAGTTTTGCTCCCAATTTTCTTTTCTAGCATCACTGTCTCTTATAAACACTGGGTAGCAGCATTGATTTGATTTTAACTATTTTATCTTTAAACATTTATTGAGGCTCCTCTGTGTCTGAGGAAATACACAAGTGCTATGTCTTTCTGACACCAAAAGACAGAAAATTGTGACTGAAGCCTTTTCAGGATTGTAGAAAAGCATCTGACCTCACATCAAGAAGCACAGTGAATCTCAAGCTAAGTACGTCTACGAGCTCCATGATTGTGGTATGGCAGTACACCCCGAATAGAATCTTAAAATCAGACAGGAAGGCAGATTAAACTGCCTGCCAAGGAATGACCATCTCGTCAACTATGCAGAGGAACCTATTCCCATCATCAGAATTGGATGCTGAAATGACTATTTTTTAAGACATAGATGAGGAGAATTTTTTTTCACCCTCTCACATTAAATGAAAGAATTCAAATTTTAGCAAGGAGGAAACTGAATCCAGTAGTAGGTTATGCCACTGCAGCAGAAACGGCCCAGCGATGAGCTGGGATAGTGTGCTGATGAAAAGCAGCGTGAGCCAGTGGCAACCTCTGGGCGGTGGCTGGAGGAACAGGGAGATGTTTTCCCAGCTGAAGGTCTGACTGCTTTGCCTAGGTGCTGCAGTCTGGAATCCTGTGTTTGTGATGAACTGTTTCACATGAGGCCTTAGGTGTCTGCTCCCATGAGTAACTACGAACATAGTGAAGCCTTGCAGGCTTACTCTGATTCTAAATTTCTGTTGAGCATGTGTAATTACTATGGTCACAGCAACACACTCTGTCACATGTGAAGGTTGAACGCAGCCGCTGCTGAGGGCACTCAGATGCCTTCCTGCCCTGAAGCCTGGGCTTCCGTGGCCTCTGTAGCACCCTGGGTTCAAGTGCTCACCCTGGACATCTGGGGACAACTCTGCCCATTCAGCTCTCCAACTTCTGAGGGTCTTTCATTTCTCAGATCAAAGGTGTCCATCTTTAGGTGAAGGAAACGAATTTGTCCAGTGGTTACCAATGGCATGGTAAAAGTTAAAGGTATATCCTTTAAAAAAAAGGCAACAAAAAATATTGATTCGAAAGAAGTCAAAATTACACGAGGAGAAAGAGAGAGAAAAGGAGAGAAAGAGAGAAGCATTATCCTTCCACTTGTTAATTCCCTAAATGGCTGCAATGACCAGAGGTGAGCCAGGCAAAAGCCAGACTTCTGAGGCTTCTTCCAGATCTCCCATGTGGCTACAGAAGCCCAAGCACCTGCACCATAATCCTCTGCAGGTAGCTGGATCCAAACTGGAACAGCTGATCCCAGTATGTCTTTTGTTTTCAATGGAATCCTCTCCATTTTTTTTTTTTTGTATAATATTCAGAGACACTCAGTTTTGACTGAAGAAGATGATGATACTCCCTTGTCATCGTTTTAAAAAAAAGGAATGCATCTCTGGAACTTGAATGAAATCATCAGGACTGTTGCATTTCCACTTTGTGGAAAATGCTGCTGTGGGGAACAGTGCAGTATTTTCTCCAGAGTGATTCCCCAACTTCACTAGTTACTTGTATTTCAATTAGGGAGATGAGCTGGTATCACAAACTTATGAAAACTCATTTAAGATCAGAAATTCATTTCTGTATATTGTAATCTAAATTAAAAATGACATTTATACTTGTGCTTCTTGGTTTGCATATTATATCTCAATAAAACGTTTCTAAATTTGTAGATGACATTCAAGCTTGACTAATAGGTTGGGGATCCAAGCTAAAATTTTCTTCCATGAATCTAAGTAATTCACCATGAAGGTTGGCTTTGGGAGTTTTAAAAATGGGCTGGCATTGTAGTGTACCTTGTAAAGCTACTGCCTGTGGCTCCAGCATCACATATGCGTACTGGTTTGAGTCCCTGATGTGCCACTTTTGATCCAGCTCCCTGTTAATATTGCTGGGAAATGAGCAGAGGATGGGCTAGAGGCCTGTGCCCCTGCACTGAGGAACTTCAAAGGAGCTCCTGGCATCTGGCTTCAGACCAGCCATTTGGGGAGAGAACCAGCAAGTGGGAGATCTCTCTCTCTCTCTCTTTTTGTCTCTCTCACTCTGCTCCTCTCTCTAGAATTCTGCCTTTCAAGGAAATGAATAAATCTTCTTTTTTTTTTAAATACTGCTATTTCATTCTTTTCATTTAAATTGAAGTTACTTTTTTTTTAATTGAATCTGGCCTCTTTACATCTTTAAAACTGCCATTTTCCTTGCCATTTCTAAAACTGAGTGAAAGAAATATTATTTAATGTGAACATAATATAGAATGAAAATTTTAGGGCAAGAACAGGAAAAGAAAAGCATGGTTCTTACAATTTTCCGAGGAAATTGGAAACCATTTATCTACTCCCCACCACCCCTTTTTTGTAGATACTGTGAGAGTTTGGCTTTCGACAGTGCGTAGGATAGTAGGTGCGTGGGGTTTGCGTGCACATTCACCCTTGGTGGCTGTGCCTTCCTCTTTATGGAGTGCGAGGTGCCTTGTTGGAGTCATGGTGTCCTTTATCTGGCCCATGGGAGCAAGGAGCAGTGCTGTTGTGTCTGTATAAGACTTGCGCTCATCTCTACCTCCCAACTGTGCTCCCTTATGGCCTCTGTGTGTGCCGAGAGCCAAGCCTTTGTGAGGGCTGCCTGGGCCTCCCCTGGTGTGGTGTCTCGGGGCCTCCTCCCCTCTAGGGTGCTGCTGCCTTGGTGCAGAGCAGTGGCCTGGGCCTCTTGGATAGATAACTGAGCGCCCCGTCCTCAGCTCTGTGACTGCCGGATCTCAGTGAGCTCTTAAAGTGAAAGAACTAAAGTATTTTGCTGCCTCCAGATGCTGTTGAGAATACAGTCCTGCCATACTTGAGTCAGGTGATACATGTCTGAGTATCTGTCAAGTGCTCGGCATTGACCTCGCTCTTTGGAATAAATCAATGAAACTCTCCATGCTTTTGGAATTGATATCAGCCCCTCGAGAACTCACTCGCCCTGCTCTGGACTGAAGGACCTCCTCCTCCAAGCATGGAGGTATATTCAGTTGCTTAGATTTTATTTTGGTTTTTTTTTTTTTTTGAGCTTTTAATTTTGAAGAAATTCTAACTAAGACGCCATTGCTGCCCTCAGGGTGTGTGTGTGTGCTTGTGCATGCAGGTGACAGGCAGACAGACATCCACCAAAACACTGCTGGCCACCCAGAGGCCTGGACACCTGCTCCAGTGAAGGATGAGGCAGTGGCCCTCAGGGAAGGCAGAAGGAAGGGGTGCTGCATGACAGATGTGGTTCAGCTTCGCCTCTGGTGATGTGTGCTTGGGGTGTGAGGGGATATGTGCAGCAGATGATAAGGTGGAGGGAGGACACAGTCAAGGCCACGTGCTAGAGCTGGAATGCGCACTGGCTTATTTGTAAGCAGACCCAGCCAATTCCGGAAGATGGCAATGTGTGTTGGGGGACAACTGATGACAACAGGTGGGATGTACTGCGGGACAAGAGCCGGGTTGCAAAGATATTAGCTCTGTGAGTTCCTCTATTTCATGCTTTACTCACTCATCATAGATTCTTTGGGGGTCTAGCCTGGTACCTAATGCTCTGCTTTTCAGAAGTGTCTTGGCAGATACCAGAGAGGACTAAAAACATAATTGTTGGAGTAGGAATGGAAAGAGGAGGGCTTGGCAGGTGGGATGGAGCGAGACCCCAGAGAGGCTGGTACAGGCGTGGATAGACGTGGATGGCAGGAGGCAACTAGAAATTGAGGCCAGTGCTTAGGAAGCAACACATTTTCTAGGTCCTGTGTTTGTAGTAACACGTGAAGATTGTTACTAGAATCCCAAATATTTTTCTAACCCTTTGGCTAGGAGGTCATTTAGCCTGTGAACTCCATAGCAGTTTTCCAGCCTAAAACCATCCTGGTTCCCAAAGTGGGACACCATGTGGAGATGTACATTTAAATCTCAGAAGCAGTTGCCAGTCTTGGATGCTGATTTAAGAAGAATGGATTCAGTTAGGTGCCCTAACTCATGGTCCAAGTTTAAAGCTTATGTCTTTGCTTTTGCTGAGTGACTGAAAGGTGTAGAAGATGATAACTTTGGGAGACTCAGGTCACCGTCTCGGAGTCCTTTGCCGAGTCCCACTTACTCTGACTCCACTTGTCGGCACTGTATACAGTGCAACTCTCTGCTCCGAACCCCAAGAGATGTCATGTGGCAAAGGACATCAGAATGGCTTGGGAAGTCCAAATATATTCTGGATGAAGAATAGTTCCATTGATGGTTTGTGATAAGAAGCACCGATAGAAACTGCAAGTAGTTTAATTGTTTGCATGGACCAAGGCTCTCATGTGCTGGAACTGAACTCCTCCCTGTGTGGGAAGGGCCCTGGATTATTCAGTGTGCGTTTTTCTCCTCGTGTAAGGTATGAGAGATGTCCTTTGGACTGAGTTAAATGCTGCTCAGCATAAAAGACACGCGAAGCCTGTGGGTTGTGACTGATTGGAATGCAGTGGGCTAATGAGACAGACACTCACGCGGCATGCCTTCCGTCCTAGGTCCTCCTTCACTGGGCACCTGGCTGGGATTCTTGTCGGACTGATGTACACCGAAGGGCCACTGAAGAAGGTGATGAAGGCATGTGCAGGTACACAACGGAACTCCTTTGGCATCCCAGCAAATTGGAAGCACATCTTAATTTTAACGTGAACAGAAACACTCCCATTTCTTCCATGGTGCAGCTTAGGAATTCATTAAGATAGGGATTTTTCTTTTTGAACCAAGAGGTGGACAGCCCGTGCAATTCCTCATAGTGTTCCATGGGAGACGAAGCAAACTCAAACCTTAAGTGTAAGGCTTTTGAGGAAGACAAACATCACTACAGCTCTATACTCTTTACTGCTCATAGTGCCCACAGAAAATCACATATTTCCTCAAATCCTAGAAAAATAAAGCACATCTAAAATAAGTAATCCTTTCATGTTATTCTTCAAATTAATATATGTGGACAGCAAAGTTAAAAAAGGAAGCCAGACCAGAAGGAAGTTCAAGATCAGTATTTGAAAGACTTGAGAATGACTGCTGGGTCCTTGAGGGTCCAGACAGACACTCAGGCATTCCCTCGACACCTGGCTCCTGGGGTCTTTTGTTTTTTGTTTTTGTTTTCCCCCTTCTTCTTTGTTTTTCCTTCCATGCTGATGCCAGAAGGAAATATTTTATCTTGAAATATATGCACTTTTTTTAGTCTTCTTAATTTAAAATGCTATATTGGCTTTGACTTGTAAGGAAACTGTTTTGCAAGTACATGTTTCATAGACTGTGCCGGTTTCAATATTTCATCTTTTATTCATAGGAAGTCTTCAGAGACTATTTTACCTTTTCTTGAACCATAAATAATTTGTTTTCACAGTTTGTGCCAGGGACTGGTATTCTTGTGAACCATATAATATTCATGCCATTAGACAACTTTGCACACCACCCCAGCATGTTGGTTAGCACGCTGTGTTGCCTTGCGGCTGCTTTGTGCAGCCTGTGTGTGCTCTGTCTGCACTGGCTGCTACTCTGCCTCTCACACATGTGCTCAGAGGAAGCAGCAAAAGCTCCACTTGGTAGAAATGTCCAGTTTTATTACATTTTAAATACTTTCATTATGGGAGTCTAGTAATGTATACCATAGAAGTGAAAACATGACTCAGGAGTTCAGTGCTTTGTTTCTCTTCTGTGTGTATCTCAAAATTAATGGCTAGTAAAGCTTTCTAAAGATATGCTATGAAATTTCAGCAGATACTTTAATTTCTGAAGAGAGCTTTTCTCTCAAGTTTGGCATTTAAAACTCAGTTTTCCTCTTTAAAGCCTTCCCTGTTTTCTGGAGCCATTTGCTCAGTAACACACTGGAAAATGAGCTGTGGGAGATTGAAGGAAACATTCAATGTGATTTGCCAGCAAGCTGCATACTCTCTGCCTTTCCTCCCGGTGAAGGCAAGCAAAGGGTTGAGTGAGCTGAGACGGAAATGACACAGGAGCCCCATGGAAAATGTCCTGAGCTCATGGAAACTGCTGCCTGCTGCCTCCTGGGAAGGAAGGTCGGGGTTAGACACAGCGTGTCTCCTACCTGGTCCTCTCTCCCTTCATTTTACAGTGGGCAGTGTCCACTGTCTTCTGTGGGGATAAGAAAGCATACAGTCCCTTGGTGGAAAGAACATTGCTCTCCTGATGTCCTTGCTGGGACAAGGTTCTTTTTTTAGCCCGAGAGTCTCTGCTCGTACACATGTATGGAAACCCCAGTTTTGGAGGCCAAGTCTATGTTAAAACAGGAACACTTACATGACTTTGGGGAGCTTATGTTACACTTTTCTTGTTCCTCACACACATATTTTCTCCTCTAGGTGTGGCCTCCAAACAGTTGGTTAGAAATGGTTTTAAATGACCCTGGATATTTTTTCTTGAAGATCCTAAAAGTTTGAAAAATTTGTGGAACTCAAAGGCTGCCATTAAATCACCTGTTTTCCTTCATCTTTAGGCATGTTTTCCTCCAGCGGTGGTTACCCGGGACAGCACTACTACTTTAACAATTCAGGTGAGCATCTTGATTCCTTTAATAAATTGAAATTTATTTTGAACATTAGAAGTCACCACTGTAGAGCTGCTTAAAGATAAAACTGGTGCGTGTTGTGGTAGGGAAATTCGTAATTGTGCCTGCAGCATGCCTACAAGGCAGACTGAGGGGTCGGCTAGAGAGTGGGTGCATCAATGAAGAAGGCAAGGGGAACAGTGCTAACATGAGCAGTTGTCTGCTGGTGTGAGGTCTCTGGCGCGTAAGGAGGTTAACCCTTGTTTCTCAAGTTGTGACTGTACTGCTGACCAGCACTAGGATTTCAAGTGCACAGTTCTCCATAGACCGCCTCCCTCATGTATTCAGGAGGGTGGATGCTTACTCCAAGACCCTGAAGTAGGCCTTCCTCTGATATTCACTGTACGACTTAAAGAGGGAGAATGTGTTTCTCTCCATGTCTGTGTACAAAGGCAAAGGGACTTTGTATTAAAAGCTTAAGTCCCTGGTTAAAGGCTTTACATTCCAGCCTTGGGGCAGCGACATAGTAGTATCCTGGGCTGTGGGGAGCAGGGTGCTAAAGCCACTCCTGGGATTGGGAAGGGCTGTTGCAAGATGGCAGCTGGCCCAGGGCCAGGAGGCGGGGTTGGTCGTGCCAGCAGGTAAACAGGAAGTCACGGGGATAGGCTAATGCCCTCGCTGCAATTATGTCATTGCTACTGGCCTATCATGTAGTGCGAAGTGGACCCACGGGGAGAAGTGGTTGGTGGAGAACGATATAAAAGTAGCTGGTAAAAGTAAGGAGGAGGGACTAGGACACATGGACGGACAGACAGGCAGGCAGACAGACGACGATGGAGAAAGATGGGAAGAAGAGTGGCGGAGAGAGGGCTGGAAAAGAGGGATACAAAAGCGGTAGAGAAGTAGTAAGACCTAAGTTTGGGGACAAGAATGGAAAAATGCAGCAGAAATCAGGGACAAGAACAAAGAAGGGTGGTGGAGAGAGGGCTGGAGAAGCGGCAGAGGAAAGCTAAGGCCAATGGGAAGAGGGGCAGCGGAGAAAAGGGTTGAAACGCCGCCACTTTTGGCAGTGAGGGGTCTGGTTGTGGTTCCAGCTTTTCCCAGATCCTCAAGAGTGTGCCTCCTCTTTTTAGTGTCACTGCTGGGATGGTGACACTGGGCCAGCGCTAGCAGATGGATATTAGAGAAGGCATAGGCTGTGGAGCTGAAAATGCACACTATCTCACACCACGACCCGAGTTCTTCCTGTATTGACATTCCAAACACTGATGTGATGGCATTAAGCATGGAGCCCTTGGGAAGGATCATATAGGTGGAGGCCTCAGAACTGGAAGGTGTGCCCTTTGTAACTGCAACACTCAGCCATGTGAGGATGCCATGGACAGTCAGAGCCTGGGACCAGAGGAGGACTCCCAACAGAACCGGCTGTGCCAGTTTCCGGGTCTTGCACCATGAAAAATCTCCTCTAGCACCGCGAGACCTCAGCATGTTTGTTGTTTGAGCTGCCCAGTCTGAGATTGTTTATTCAGCCCAGATGGACTAAGTCAGTTGCTTAACTTGCACTGGAAGCCAGCAGCTTCTTCTGTAATGGGAAATATAATTGGTGTTTTAGGTTCCAAAAGCTTTGTTGGCCCCCGGTCTCTGCCACAGCTATTCAGTCTGTCTTTGTAGCGTGTTAAACAAATGGGCATTGTCATGTTCCAATAAAACCCTGTTCATAAAATGGGCAACAGGTTATGTTTGAAACAAAAATGGTGGCTTGTTGACCCCTGGCTTAAAAAAAACACAAGTATAGAATTTTTATTAAAAACTTATATTACTTTTTGCTGAATTTTCCTCACTAGGGTACTTAGCCACAGAGTAGTTTACACAGCAGCATTTGTTTAGTGTTTCTTTTGAGAGTACCAGAGCTGCCATTGTAGGAAGGAAGAAGAAGAACCACTGATCCTGTTCTGAGAGTTTAGAATCCTGGGGCAGGAGTGTGGGCATAGCCATATGTTTGAAAATACCAAACAATAAAACAAATAGCACTCATTAGGTTGCGGGAAACAGTGAAGATACATGATATAGGTTGTTGTCAAATAATGGGATAACAGCTGATGATGCTAGCGTGATTTTGTTTCTCCTGTTTCTCCTTATGTCGGTCTCCTGCCATCCTACCCATCCCCACCAACCCCCTCACCACCACTCACAGTCCTCCCCTGAAACTTCTTAAGTCAGGGACCTGCTATGCTCTGCTGTGTTCCTGCTTCCTGCTTTGTAACCTGGAAACTAACTCCAGGCTCACTTCCTTTATTTCCTGACTCAAGGATCAAAACTCTGAATTCTGTCTACAGTGTGTGAAAAATTGCTTCCCATGTTTTTGCATGCCTTCTGCTTAATCTGGGCAAGTGGGCTGGTTCAGTCCTGCTTGTTCCTTCCTGACCAGCAGGAATCCAATCTAGCAGCATGAGCACCATGGGAAACAGGAGGTGCTACAGTGGAGTGCTGCTCTTGATGGATGAGTAGACGCTGTGGAAAGCATGGGAGGAAAAGACTTTCCAGGGGGAATTTGAGATTGTCAAACTGGGCTGGAGAAGTACTGATGGATTACCTCCATTTTCTACAAAGCTCTAAAGTCTTGAGTCATGATTACCAACCCTGACTGGATACAGGAATCACCTGAGCTGCTCCTCCAGCATATCTGTGCCTTGAATTCACTACAGACCACTGATAGTTGATGAGGGTAGAAGCAGGGACTTGTTGTTTAGTCTCCAGGTGATTAGAATGGATGAGAAACTGAAGCCATAGCCTGAAGTGATGGGAGTTTCCTAGGCTTGGGGACCTTAGAGATCAACGTGATGGCTGCTGCCAGAGCAGTCTCCACTTGTGAGGATTTCACTTCCGACTGGACGCGTACAATCCTAGAAACAGCAGAGATTCAGGTGTTGGACAGTGCCAGCTCAGCTTGCTTCTACCTCTGGAGCCATTTGGTCTCTGGCTATAAGGACTAGTTCACTCCAGCTGGATAACTGAAATGCTCTCCAGCTTATTTAAGTGGTAGCAAAAGCTGAGTAGGACAGGAAGGCTGTGGGGATTCTATCACCTATCTGGTTTCTGTCTTCCTGTTGATTATTTTCTCCCTAAAGCAAAGAATGTAGCATCTAATAACAAAGTTATTAGATGAAAAATAATTTATAAAAAGGTTTTCACCTCTCCAGGTGAAAACTTTAAGATGCTAGGAACAAATAGATTTTCTGGAAAAAGAAAGGGGTAGGAGAGTCCCTATTTACTCATGGATTATCCGATCCTGTCAACCTGTGTGAGTGTGGGTTACACATCCCGTCAACCTGTGTGACTGTGGATTACCTGATCCTGTCAACCTGACTGTGGATTACCCATTGTGTCAACCTGTGTGACTGTGGATTACCTGATCATGTCAACCTGAGTGACTGTGGATTACCTGATCACGTCAACCTCTGTGACTGTGGATTACCCATCCTGTCAACCTGTGTGGCTGTGGATTACCTGATCCTGTCAACCTGTGTGACTGTGGATTACCCGATCTTGTCAACCTGTATGGTCGTGGATTACCCATCCTGTCAACCTGTGTGACTGTGGATTACCCATCCTGTCAACCTGTGTGACCGTGGATTACCCATCCTGTCAACCTGTGTGACCGTTGATTACCTGATCCTGTCAACCTGTGTGACTGTGGATTACCCATCCTGTCAACCTGTGTGACTGTGGATTACCCGATCCTGTCAACCTGTATGGTCGTGGATTACCCATCCTGTCAACTTGTGTGACTGTGGATTTCACATCCTGTCAACCTGTATGGTCGTGGATTACACATCCTGTCAACCTGTGTAGCTGTGGATTACCTGATCCTGTCAACCTGTGTAGCTGTGGATTACACATCCTGTCAACCTGTTTGACCATGGATTACCTGATCCTGTCAACCTGTGTGACTGTGGAGAAACTGAGATCGAGGACAGCGAAGTCTTTGCTGAAGTGATAGAAGTGGGACAAGATGATTCCTAGTGCTTGCATTTTCTGCTGTGCAGATAGTAGATGGGCCCTGTTCCAATTTAACCTTACAGAATGGGGAAGTTTCCTTCTTTCTCTCTTGTCTCTTCATTTATTCAGAAAGAGGAAGGGAAATGTGTTCCTTATGAATCACACTGGCCACAGAATAAAAGACAAAAATGAAAGTGTCTTTTACCTTCTTATCCTCTGTGCAGTGACCACATTTATATTCCTTCCTCCGAAGTGATTGGATTTCTTCAAAGGCAGAGCTACATGAGGCCAGGTGGCCATGCTAATGGTCATCTAGGGAACTTTTACGAGAGCATATGTATCCCTTACAAGTAATGATTTATTCTTAACATGACTGTCCCTAGCTGAAAAGTCTTTATAGGTCAAAGAGCCTCATGAATGTTTAAAGAGCTGTTACCAATCTTTCTAATCTCACTGGTGTTTCTTGATCTCCTTTGCCATCAGATCCTGTTATGTGTAGGAGAAACAGATGGAGCAGTTAACAGAATAATGATAAGCAGAATTTCTTTTACTGCAGAGCCAACATATATAGCGAAAAAAGGAACTTTAAACTAGTGTTCGTCGCAATATATAATTTAAACCTTTTTCTGAATTGTTTGATTGTTAGGTTTTTTCCCAAGAATGTTTATTATGAAGATTAAAAGCCTCTGATTGGGCCAGAGGAACAGCTGCAGAAAATGTTTCATCCTAGGAGGCCTCTTCTCATCCTAATAGATATTGATGGGGTCTTTGGGCTCGTTGATGATTTATGATTGATGATATGGAACCTCTAACCACACCAGTCTTTTTTGACTTAAGTCCCCCAAACTTGCCCCTTTTCTGTCTGCATGGTTTGTCTGACAAGTACCAAATCAGATTTTATAGTGTTCAGATGTTTAGAGTTCTCAGCTTTATTCCATTAAAGCACTGCTACGTTGCTTTTAAGTAAGAAATAACATGAAGGAAAATGTTTTTCTGTATCAGGAAAACGTTGCCTCAAGACACGGCCAATATTCTTGGCAGTTAAAACTCTATAGATATGGATGAGCATGCAGAAGCTTTGAATTATTTTGTGTTTTCAATTAGCTGCGTATTTTGGGCCATGGATGGGTGGAAGTACTGCTTCCTTAGCAGAGTGACTCTCCACTGGGGTTTGGGAGTGATAATGAGCCATGTGGGAAATTTCCCAAGATGCTTCCTGTGTTGCTGTGAGATAATTGGCCCTCTCAGGGAATTGGGCAGTGTCTCTAGTCAGAGACCGCTCAGGCATCCCCTGATATTAACTGACTTCCCCATAAATATTCTGTTAGTGTTTGGGAATGGTTGCCTGTTTCTTTTGTTCGTTGTGAAGTAGATCTGTTAATTTTTTTTTTTTTTGACCAGTCCCTCTCATGTGAAAGACCATTTCTTGGAAGAGAGACTAGAAGGCAGTATCTGTAACACTGCCACAGCTCCTTTACTCAAGGAAAGAAACTTGCTGGTCGTATACCCCAACTGAGCAGTGAGAGCTCAGGTTTTCTATGAGTTCTGTTGGGGAGAAACTAATCGCAGAAGGATTGTGCGTATTGAAATTGTTTTCCAGATTCTTATTTTGTCCTAAACCATTGCAAAAATTGAGAAAATTTACTTATCTCATTCTCCTATTCCAAATATCAGCATTCTGATACTCTGACATGGCAAATTAAAGAGGGAATATGGGATTTGGTTATTGGAAATGGTTCATAAATTCTAATTTAGGCCCCAACACAGCAGCCTAGTTGCTAAAGTCCTCACATTGCATGTCTGGGGTCCCATATGGGCGACAATTTGTATCCTGGATGCTTCACTTGCCTTTCAGCTCCCTGATTGTGACTGGGGAAAGCAGTGGAGGACGGCCCAAAGCCTTGGGACCCTGTTCTTGTGTGGGAGACCCAGAAGAAGCTCCTGGCTCTTGACTTTGGATCGATTCAGCTCTGGCCATTATGACTACTTGGGAAGTGGACCAGTGGATGAAAGATCTTTCTGTCTCCTTCTCTCTATAAAATCTGCCTTTCAAACAAAACTAAATAAATCTTTTTAAAAATTCTCGCTAATTTTTACTGCATTAGGGAAAAGACTTCTCACAATTAGCTTCCAAAATCTGTAATAATTTTATAGAATGTTTACTTTTAAAATGTGCTACTTTCAAGAGCATTCAGTAAAATAGAAGCAATCTGGAAGGGTATTGTAGTAATCAATATGAATGAGCAATGTATTTAAATAGACATTTTTCCAAAGAAGATACATTAAAACTGATAAGTCAGGACCTTTATATGCTGCCTTTTGAAATGTAAAATGGTACAATCACTTTGCAAAATCATTCTGGTAATTCCACAAATGGTTAAACAAAATTACCGTGTGATCAAGAAGTCCTACTTGCAAGTTTATAATCAGGAGAAATGAAAACATATGTGCATATGAAAACTTCCCCACAATTGTTTGTGACAGCATTATTGAAAATGCTCAAAAGGTACAGAGATCCCAAAATGTCTAACAAGCAATGAGTAGGTAAAATGTGGAATTATATGCAGTGGAATGGTATTTGGCCTTAGAAAGAAATACTGATTTATGACACACCATTGAAAAATCTTGAAAATGTGCTAAGTAAAAGGAATCACACATAAAACACATATTATTTAATTCTATTTTACTTAATTTTTAAGAGATTTACTTTATTGGAAAGGCAGATCAGATATGCTGAGAGAAGGTGAGTTAGAGAGCTCTTCCATCCGTTGGTTCACTCCCCCCCAAAGGGCCACAAGGCCAAAACTAAGCTGATCTGAAGCCAGGAGCTGGGTTCTTCTTCTGGGTTCCCTACATGAGTTCAGGGTCTCAAGGCCACAGGCAGGGAGCTGGATGGGAAGTGGAGTAGCCGGGACATGAACTGGCACCCACATGGGATCCTGGGCTTGAAGAATGAGGATTTTAGCCACTTGGCTGTCACATTGGGCCTTATTTAATTTATTTATAAGAATGATCCAAAATGGGCACCTTTATTGAAATAGAGAGTAAAGGTAGTTATTTCCTAGCACTGGACGATAGAGGAGTATTAACTAAAGGGTACACATTTCTTTTCTGGGATGATGAAAATGCTAATACTTGATTGTGCTGATGATAGCACAGCTGTGTGACCAAACCAAAACTCGTTGAGTCATACATTTAAAATTGGTAAATTGTTTGGTTTTCTGATGTTTTGGTCTGTTTTCTGTTGCTATAACAGAAATTGTATGGTTTTCCAATGTTTCGGTCTGTTTTCTGTTGCCATAACAGAAAACTTAAAGCTGGATAATTCATGAACAGCAAGGGTTTTTCAGCTCATGCTACTCAAGAGTATGGTAAGGGCGTCTTGCCAGGCCTGATGAAGGTCCTCTTGCCGCATCCCAACAGGTGTGAGGAGCAGAGTGAATGTGGCAGCATGGAGCTCTCTTGCTATTCTTTCTTACAAGGCACTAGTCCATCATGGCTCTCACTTGGATGGCCTGGTGTATTTCCAGTTAACCTCCAAAGGGCCTCATGACCAAGGAATATCAGTGTAGGACTTTGGGGATTAAATTTCTGTCACATGAGTTGTGAAGACATGCTCACCAGTGCTGCTGTAAAAACATCACCAGGAGACAGAAATAATTTATGTAAATGTATAATTATGTTAGCTTCTTTTCGAAAACTCATGTTTTATTGCCAGTTCATTGCTTCTCTGAGATTGAAGATTGGAATGCTGAAAATAAGCTGTTTTTCTTTTAATCTTATATCAAGGAACTATTTTATTCATGACCAGTACGAAGATTCTGAATATGAAATCTCAGCTAGGTGCTGTTTTGCAGTGTTCCTGCTCTGGATTTGATTATGCTTTTTTTTTCCCCTGTAGTTTTATTAAAGCTATAACTCAGTCATATACTATGTCTGTTGATACCGAGATACGTGACACAGTGCGGTAAAGGTTAGGAATTTTCATCAATAGCAAAAACCACATTAAACATTTGAAATATCATCTTCATAGGCTATGATATTGACAAGAGAGAAAATAAACAGACCATAACCTCTCTCATTATGCCAGGATGAGATTGATCATCTTACACTGGAGAAAATTCCTTTCTGAAACTGATTCTACAGCTTGGCAGTTTGCCTCAAATTGATAGAAATATTTGATGGCATTATTTTGCAAAAGTGTACTGTGCAAGATGTCTCTGTTTGGAGCATAAAACTTTAATGATCAGGCTATTTCTTCACTTTTATCTAGCAGATCTAAGCATTTATTTACTGATTGATTGATTGATTGATAGATTGGTTGATGTGGGGAGTGGTAAGAAGAGGGAGAGGCAGAACCCTGGCTGGTAAGTTAGTCAAGTTGTTCAGTGTTCAACACGGTTTCCCGTGTGAGTAGTAGGAATCCAGTTATACTCCTGCCTCCCAGGAGCTGCTTTATCAAGACATCAGTCAGGAGTGGAACTGAGCGTAGAACCCAGCTACTCCGAGTTTTAGAAAGTGCTGTTCAGGGACCTGGACTTGTGGCAGAGCAGTCTAAAGTGTGCTTGAAAGGCTGTCATCATCTACGGGCGTGCCAAGTTCAAGCCCAAGCTGCTCTGCCTCTGATCCAGCTCCCTGTTAGTGCACCAGGGAAAGCACAGATGATAGCCCAGTTATTTGGCCCCTGCCACCCAAGAGGGAGGCCCAGATGGATTTCCTAGATTCTGTCTTGTGTCTGACCTAGCCCTGACTATTGGGTCCATTTGGGGAGTGAACCATCGATATGAGATCTCTCCCCCACCTCCCTACCTTCTATAATTCAGATTTTCATATACATATATTTATATATATAATTTATATATATTTATATATATTTAATTGCAGTGTTATTGATAGAAACTGCGATATCTGATATAGAATTGTGATTTGTGGTTGCGGAGAAATTGGCTAGTCCACCACAATCTTGTATTACTCTGTGAAGTATGACTACTCACACAGAAATTCTGTAGTGTTTGTATTAAACACTGATCTACCTCTTCATTGCATGGGTCCACAAGAGTAAGGATTTAACTGCTACAGTTTTTAGTATTTTCTTGGCTTAAATCAGGACTTAATAAAAAGTGCTCTGAGTATTAGGCACCTCTAAGTTGAAAGAGTTCCCTCTGTTTGTTGTTAGCACCCTCTAGTCCTTTCCAGAACTCTGCCTGCCTTCTGAGTTAGTATGTGCTCTTCTTATTAGTCAGTAAAAAGCTGTCCCTCTTAGTCCCCACATGGAACCCTGACGATGGAATAGTGACAGTATCATTGCCCACAGTCATGTACACATTTTCCCCATGTCATCTTTTCTTACTTTGAGCATTTTTATACTCAGTGACTTGAATTATTTTGAGCATTTATATACTCAGTGACTTGAATGTTTTTACCTGCCAAAAATAGGGAGCATGAAATAGAAGGGAAGTCTACAGCTGTGTTCTCTTAAGTGGTTCATTGTGCCTCCAGGCTACTCTGGGTACCAGGACCATTCTCCGTACTCCAGGCCCGGCTCCCATGAACGAGCACCCAACAACTACGACATGTACACAGCTGGACTGAGCGAAGAGGAGCAGCTGGAGAGAGCCTTAAGGGCCAGCCTCTGGGACCGAGGTAGGAGTCTCATGCCCTTCACTTATTTTAAAGCATACCTCACATGGTGTTATGGCCTGTGGGACTATTTCTAGCAAACTGAATGTTAGTTTGTAAAAAGGATACATCAGTGAAAAAAAAAATGTATGCTCATTGTGATTACAGAGAATGGAATGTGATGCCGTATTCCCAGCAACCTAAGCCAATAAGGTGCCAGACTGCTTATGTGTTGTTGAAATGGTCCTTTATATATCCACTCAGTGCCTTGATATGGAAGTTAAGGAACTTAGAAAAAGTAATAAAAACCTTAAATGCATGCAAAAAGGTGATTACGTTGCAGTTTGTGGCTATGAAGTCTTCTGCATGTCAGCATACATCAAAACGTTGTACATAAACTTCCCAGAGATCTCTAAGTAACAGTGAGAGTTCAGATTAACTTTTGGGTTCTTTAGAACAAATATTCCAAGATAAATTCCTGTTAATGTGTGTGTGTGTGTGTGTGTGTTTTGTTAGTGGAGAATTATTCTTTTTAAATGTATTTGAAAGGAACGAATTTCATGTATTTCATATCTACGGTTTTAAGAATATAATAATACTTCTCAGGCTACCTTCCCTCCCAATTTCTGCCTTCCCTCTTCATTTCTTTCTTATTTTTAATTTTTGCAGTGACATATTTTCAGTTTACTTTATAATCACAGGCTTATGTCTCCATTCAGTAAAGAAACTAAACAGTTATTTAGAAAAAAAAAAAACCCACTATTCCTCGGGAATCTAAACAATTGCTGTAAGTAGCAATCAACTCTCAAAATGTCAGTTTGCTCATAGTCTGATTTTTCTTTATTGAGTGTGTTAATTCCAGAAATCAAGAAAAACATTGAGTATTTGTTTTCACAGCTAGTTTATTTGACTGGTGATCATGGTGGCCTGTTCTATTAATTTTGTTGCAGAAGACAGGGTTTCATTGTTTTTATGCTTAAGTAGAATACCATAGAGTGTGTATGTGTTTATACACCACATTTCCTTTGTTCAGTCATCCATGGAACATCTCGGTTGATTCTATATCTTAAATTGAGCTGCAGTATATCTGCATGTGTAAATAACTCTGTCACGCTGATTCCATTTTCTTTGTGTAAGTTCCCAGGAGTGGGATGGCAGGGTCATACAAGTTGACGTTCACATCAGCAGTGGATTAGAACACCTTCTCCCCACAACCTTGCTAGAATTTATTATTTTGGATCACTAGATGATAGCCATTATAACTGGAGTGAGGTGAAACGTCATTGTAGTTTTCAGTATCTCCCTGATGCATTAATATGTTCCTGAGCATTTCTTCATATGTCTGTGAATACTTCATCCTTTGAAAATTGCCTATTTCTTAACTGGATTGTTTGTTTTGTTCTTGTTAAGTTTCTTGAGCTCTTTTTTAGATACTGGATATTGTTTCAGTAATGGTTGCATAATTTATGTAGACTTTCTTCCATTCTGTTGGTTGCATCTTCGCTTTGCTGAGTTTCTTTGCTGTGTAGACGCTTCCAACCTGACCTAATCTCATTTGTCTGTTTTTGCCTTTCTTGTCTGTGCTTCTGGCATCTTATCCAAGAAGTTCTTTCAAATGACCATTTTTTTTTACATTTCTTCTACATTTTCTTCTACTAATTTGATCAAATAATGTCTTTGGTTTACATCCCTGGACCATTATAATTTGATTTTTATATAGTTGTAAGATTAACATCTTGCTCTATTTTTCCACAAGGAGAGATCTAATTTTCCCAACACTATTTGTTGAGGAAAATGTTCAGAAGCAATTTTAGCTCATTTGTCAAAGATGTGTTGGTTGTAGATGCGTGTATTAATTTCTGAAGTCTCTTCCCACTTCCTTTAATGCACATGTCTATTCATGTATCAGTACTAGGCTGTTTACGACTACCCTGTGATAATTCTGGAAACATGATGCTGTTAAACCTCCATCGTTATTTTCATTGGTTACAATCACTTTTTCTAGTCAGAGTCTTGTGATTTCATATGAATTTTTCAGTCATTTTTCTCTGGGTCTGAAAAGAATGTCTTTAATATTTTGATTGGGCACTCACTGAATCTGTAGATTGCTTTGGGTGACATGGATATCTTGATATTCATTCTTTTAATACAAGAACATGGAAGATTTTTCTATATTTTGTGTCTTCTACTGATTTCGTTCATGTTTTATAATTTTCATTGTAGAGCTCTTTAACGTGCTTGGTTGAATTTATCACAGGGTATTTAACAATTTTCATAGCTATTTTAACAGAATTAATCTTACAAATTCTCAGTTAGGGCAGGTAAAATGTCTCAATTGGCTAATGCTCCTCCACTTGCAAGCACTGCCATCCCAAACAGGTCCTGCTGTGTGTCCTGGCTGCTCCCTGTTGGTCACCAGAAAGGCAGGGGAGGATGGCCTGAGCCCCTGCACCCACGTGGGAAACCAGGAAGAAACTCCTGATTCCTGGCTTTGGATTGGCTCAGCTCTGGCCATTGAGGCCATGTGGGAAGTAAGCCAGCAGCTGCAAGATCTTTCTCTGTGTCCTTCTCTCTGTAAAATCTGACTTTCCAGGCTGTACATGGAGTAGCTAGTAGTGGTGCAGGTATCTTTCTGAGAAACAGAGAGAAAATGACAGAAAGTGTGTTAATCTTTGTGTCTCTAGAGGTAAACATGAGAGATCTGAAAAGGGAAACCTCTTCTGACGGCTGCTTTTGGAGCCTTTTTGAGGTTTATAAACATCTCAGAAGATGAGTCTTTTGGAGCAGGAGTTAGCACACATTTCTAAGACTGTCTGCTAAAAAAATGCTTTTAGTAAGTTAGTCTAATTAGTGGACATTATTTTCTCTTACCTCAAAATAAAATATATGGGAATTTTTGTAACAGACAATTAAAAAAAGTCGCACACATACCATCTTGAACAAGGAAGTGATCTGAGAGTGCTGTTGACTTTTTATCATTTATAAGCTTAATCTTGGGTCCATGGTAGTAGCCTAGAGGCTAAAGTCCTCACCTTGCTTGCTCCAGGATCCCATACTGGCACCAGTTCGTACCCTAGCTCCTGTACTTCCCACCCGGCTCTCTGCTTGTGGCCTGGGAAAGCAGTTGAGGACGGCCCAAAGCCTTGGGACCCTGTACCCACATGGGAGAACCAGAAGAAACTCCTGGCTCTTGACTTCAGATCAGCTCAGCTCTGGCTGTTACAATCAGTTTAGGAGTGAACCAGTGGAGAAAAAAAAGGAGTGAACCAGTGGATACAAGATCTTTCTTTCTGTCTCTGCCTTTCCAATAAAAATAATTCTTTAAAAAAATCTTATTCTTTAAGAAAATTGGAATAATGTACTGAGTAGCAGTAGGAATGAAAGTTTTTCTGCTACATTGGTTTTACATCATTTTTATGATCTTATAAATCGTGTTAAAATATTTCAGTATAGTTAAGAAAAAAAATTGTTTGTAAAACAAAACAGCTTCAGAGGGGGACATTTGAGCTGGCATGTCAGGGTAAGTAGCTGGGGCTGCCTGAGTTTGGATATCAGCTCTGCTTCCTGGCCTGCTGTCCCCAGAAGGCACCCAGTGATGGCTGAAGTGGTTGAGTTCTTGCCTCTTCTTGGGAAAGGTGGATCACATTCTAGCCTCTCAGATTGGGCCTAACCTTTGGGGAGTGAACCCGTAGGTAAGCAGGCTGGTTGTTTTGTTTTTGGTTTTGTTTCTCTCTCTGTCTCTCTGTTCCTGCTCCTCCCCTCCAAATAAATAAAATCAGGAAATATTTTTAAAAACATATTTAAACATTAGAGGCAATAAGACCTACCTAGTATTATTGTGGCAGTGTTGATTTTGTTTGTATTTTTGCTGGGGTTTGGTCTGGAGAAATCAGGCTTCTGCTTGATGAGAATGGAGTGAATTTCTAATTCTTTGTAGAGTAAAACTGCTAAGATGAAGATACCCATGGGCTTCACAGCTTTACTAAATCGTTTCCACCATTTACATTTCGTTGTAGCTGACCTCCCTTCCCTTCTTCCTGTCCTTCTCTGGGTATATTTGCAGGACCGAGTGCATTTGTGACATTTGTCATTGAAATAATCACCTGGTACATCTGTGACATTGTGCCTTGGTCAGAATTTTATGTGATAGTCAGCTAAACTATTCTATAAACGCATCCAATATTTTTCTAAAGGAGTAAAAAAGAAACTAATTGTTGAGTAAATTATGTTGGGGTGAAGTTGGTTTGATCTTCATCACACCATCTACTCATATTCTAAACTAATTGGGTGAAATGTAGAAAGAATACTTTTGTTTGTTCATTATGATTTTATTTGTCATTTTACAGTTCCATAGGCTCAGGGATTTCCCCTTCAACCCTCCCCGTTCCCCTATATTGTTACAATAATATAGTCCTTGAGCAGCAGTCACAAAATAGTCATTCTTCGATTAAAGCACACCATGATGTTGTAGGTGTAGTAAGATAGGAAGTCCAACATTCTCTTGCCAAGATATACTTAACAGTTTCATCAGGAGCCCGTCTTTCATCGGGAGTAGAGATGCATACTGCAATGTGGGTCCTGCACAATGTCTTAATTGGATAATCTTCCCCTCTGCAAGTGTGGCAATCCCACATGGGCACCAGTTCGTGTTCCAGCTGCTCCACTTCCCTTCCAGCTCCTTGCTTACGGCATGGGAAGGCAATTGAGGAAGGCTCAAAGCCTTCGGACCCTGCACCCAAGGGAGATCTAGAAGAAGCTCCGGGCCCCTGGCTTTGGATCAGCTCAGCTCTGGACATTGTGGCCACTTGAGATATGAACCCGCAGATGGAAGATCTTTCTCTTTGTCTCTCTTTCTCTCTGTAAAAATCTGCTCTTCCAATAGAAATAAATAAATCTTTTAAGGAAGAAGTCATGAAAAGAATAAATTCGGATCACTAAATTATTGATTAGGACTTCTATATAGAGCAGAAGAAAAGTACAGGAGACAAGAATAGATTTTCTAACAAAAATTTGATAATATATTA